TTTCAAGAAGTTTACATGGGAAAAACAAGATATTCCATGATAAAACCAAATTTAAACAATACCTATCCACAAACCCAGCCCTACAGAAAGTACTAGAAGGAAAACACCAACACAAGGAAATCACCTATGTCTACAAGAACACAAGAAATAGATGAGCTTACAGCAGATAACACCAAAGAAGGGAACTGAACACACAATGTCATCACCACCAACAAAATCAAAAATAAAAGGAACTAGCAATCACTGTTCATTAATATCCACTAATATCAATGGTCTCAATTTACCTCTAAAAAGACACAGGCTAACTTATAGGATATGAAAAAAGAATCCATCCTTCTGCTGCATACAGCAAACACACCTGAAACACACACAGAAATTACGTCAGAGTAAAGGGTTGGGAAAGTTTTTTCAATCAAATGGACCTAAGAAACAACCTGGTGTAGCTATCCTAATATCTAACAAAATAGACTTCACTTAAAATCAATCAAAAAGATAAAGAAGGACATTCTATATTTATCACAGGAAAATCCATCAGAGGAAATCTCAATTCTGAACATCTATGCCCTAAACACAAGGGTTCATGCATTTGAAAAAAAAAACTTGCAAAAACTTAAATCACAAATCAAGCCACACACACTAATAGGGGGAGACTTCAACACTCCACTCTTACCACTGGACAGATCTTTTAGACAGAAGCTTAACAGAGAAACAATGGAACTAACAGAGGTTATGACTCAAGCAGACTTAACAGACATCTATAGAACAGTCCAGACAAACACAAAAGACTATACTTTCTTTTCAGCACCTCACGGAACATTCTCAAAAATGAAACACAGGGGCTGGAGAGATGGCTCAGCAGTTAAGAGCACTGACTGTTTTTCCAGAGGTCCTGAGTTCAATTCCCGGCAACCACACGGTGGCTCACAACCACCTTGAATGAGGTCTGGTGCCCTCTGCTGGCATGCAGGCCAAATACTGTATACATAATAAATAAATAAAATTGTTTTTAAAAATGGAACACAGAATGAGGGGATGCTGGAAATAGAAAGGCTGGATAAATTATCAGGAACTAAGGATGTGAGTATAACCAATAGAATACAAGAGATGGAAGAGAGATCTCAGTTGTTGAAGACTCGCTAGAGGATATACAGTCATCGAGCAAAGAAAATCTCCAGTCCAACAAATCCCTACCACGAAATATCCAGGAAATATGGGACACAGTGAAAAGACCAAACCTAAGAATAATAGGTATAGAAGAAGGCAAAGAAATTCAGCTCAAAGGTACAGAAAACTTATTCAACAAAATAATAGAAGAAAACTTCCCCAACCTAAAGAGGGATATGCCTATGAAAGTACAAGAAGCTTTCAGAACACCAAATAGAATGGACCACAAAAGAAGTCTCCTTGCCACGTCATAATCAAAACACCAAACTTACCGAGTAAAGAAAAAAATATTAAGAGCAGCAAAAGAAAAATGCCAAATAACATAGAAAGGCAGACCTATCTGAATTATACCCGACTTCTCAACACCTTTGAACACCAGAAGGGTACATGGATGTCAGCCCAGACTGACATCCAGCAAAGCTTTCAATCACAAAAATGGAGAAAACAAGATATTCCATGACAAAACCTGATTTAAGCAATACATATCCACAAATCCAGCCCTACAAAATTCATAGAAGGAAAATTCCAATGTAATGAAGATAATTACACTCAAAAAGCCATAGGCAATAGATAATCCCACTTTACCAAACACCAAATGTGGGGAAATCCACACACAATAACACCAACAAGAGCAAATCCAAACAAACAAGAATCAACAATCAATTGTCATTAATATTCCTCAATGTCAATGGTCTTAACTTGCCTATAAAAAGATACAGGCTAACAGAATGGATACAAAGAATCCATCCTTTTGCTGCATAAAAGAAACACATCTCAACATCAAGGACAGATGGTACCTCAGAATAAAGGGTTGGGAAAAGATTTTCCAATCAAATGGACCAAAAAACAAGCTGGTGTAGCAATCCTAATATCTAACAAATTAGACATCAAACTAAAGTCAATCAAAAGAGATGAAGAAGGGCATTTCACACTTATCACAGGAAAAGCCCATCAACATGAAGTCTCAATCTTGAACTTCTAAGCCCCAAATACCAAGGCAAGAAATATTACCAAAGCTCAAATCACACATAAAAACTCACACACTTGGTGGTGCATGCCTTAAATCCCAGCACCTGGGAGGCAGAGGCAGGCGGATCTCTGTGAGTTCGAGGCAAGCCTGGTCTCCAGAGTGAGTGCAAGGATAGGCTCCAAAGCTACACAGCCATAGTCTGCGGCACCCCCACTTCCCCAAAAGAAAATTATTTTAATACCCAAACCAAACCAACAAGCAAACAAAAATAAAAAGAAAAACAAAACAAAAACCAACAAACAACAAATAACCTCTTGCTCCATCTTTCTCACCTTTCCAGCACCCTTTCGTTTGTCCTAGTGGCATAGGGAGATTTGGTATTGCACACAGTATACCCTTTTGTCCAATCGGCTTTACTTGCAGATGTTCATTTCGTTGAATCTGGTTTTGTTCAAGGCCTCTCATTTCTGGTATAACGTCATCACTGGATTCACTGAAAATCCTCTTGGTTATTGTGCAGCTGCCCTAGTCATGGGGATACTGAGGGTATTGCTCTACAGGACCAGTCCCTTCATGATCTGGAGAATCTAGGTCCTAAATTGTGTAAATGGTATGGTGTGCCAACCCTGGGCATCCCTGTGGTCTGAGTGGGAGTTGAGTTGGTCAATCTAGGCCACTGGGGTTTCCTCCCTTAGGCAAAAGGTGGGTAGATCTGGTTCCCTGATGCCCAAGTCTTCAGGGTAAATCCACCCTCAACCATGGTGAGGAGTAGCTCTCCCATGAGGGTTGCAGACAGCTCTGGAAGTGTCAAGTGAGAGGCAGGAGCAGCTATCCTATGGCCAACCAAGGCTGGTGATGGCTCCGCATGTCCCTGATTTCATGAGACGTGGTTCCTGTGGTCTCTTGAGTTGACATGGAACACAGATCAATACAGAGCCCTGCTGCAGCAGGACCACAGACCTAGAAATTGCCCTCAGCAGGAACTAGGCCCCAAATGGCATACTGGCTCTGGGTAGAAGCACAGGCCACTCAGAACAGTATGGCTCTGGTGGTGGCAATGCTCCAAGTATTGACAAGTCTACAGGCTTCAGCCTTGACACTAGGCTTCCATGCAACTTTGTTCCCAACACAGGCCTTGAACTTCAACACAGAGCCCAGCTGGGGTAGGAGCACAGACCAAGATGTGTTCCACAGCAGCAGATAGATCTCAATAGTGGCCACTATTGCCCCAGGAGGCAGTGCAGGCCACTCAGATTGGCACAGCTTCTACAGCACTGTGGCCCTCAGACCCTAACAGGGCACCTAATCTTGGGCATTCATATGTCCTTCTGTAGGGAGTGACCCTGATTATGGGTACCAAGAGGGCGTGGTCCCAGTAACATAACAGGGGTTTAAGAAGCAGGGAGTGGAGCACCAGGTTTCACTGGATAGGCTGAGCCAACTGGAAAGCATTTCTGAGTCCGTCCTGCCAAAGTTCAAACCTGGTGACTGGTTCCCTTGCGTGAGTATTTTCCCCTAATAAACTACCAATTATTAGCCTATCTGAGTACACCTTGTATTCTTCTTTACCCTTCTATGGTAACAGGAACATCAGACATCAACAGACTGTTGCTGCAGCAGTGCCATGGACACAGACATGGCCCTCAGCTGAAGGTTTGGCTCAGACATCAAGCAGCTCAGATCTGCATGGCCCCGACTTCAACAGGGATTCAGGAGACTGACCTGACCCTGTGCATCTACTTGGGCCATAGACTTCAACAAAGGCCCAGGATGTGGTAGGACCATGAAGCCAGACATGGTCCTTAGCAGCAATCTGGGTCCATTATGTAACCATGTCCCACAGTGGTAGTAAAGGCCAGCATACTCTGGTGGGAGTGCAACCCTCAGATAACATGACCCAGATGCAGACCCCAGGAATCCACAAGGCCGTCCTAGACATGGCCCTTGGTAGCTTCCCAAGCCCAGATGACACTATTGCTATAGCACTGGTCACTTAGATCTATATGGCCCTGGCAGTGGCATGGCCCACAGACTCCGACTAGGCCACACCCTGGGCCTCTGTGTGGCCCTTGGTGGCAACACAGACCCAGACATGGTGGTTTGCAGCAGCTGAGGTCTATGGCCCCAGGTGGTGACAAAGGCCACCCAGATTAGTATTCTCTGCGCCAGTGCAGATTTAGATACTGTCTTAGGGTTTTTATTACTTTGAAGAGACATGGTGACCATGGCAACTTTTTTTATCATTTTTAAAAATAAATTTTATTTAAATGAGAAACAGTCATATTCACACATCAATCCCAGTTCCCTTCCATCCTCCCATCAGCCCCCACTGACTGTCCATCCCATGCCATCTCCCATCCACTCCACAGGGATCCCTTCCATTAGGAATTATCAAAATCTGTTAAGTCATTTGGGGCAGGGCCTAGGCCCTACCCCGTGTATCCAGGCTAAGATAGTATACCTCCATGGGCAATGGGCTCCCGGACGTCCGTTCATGCACTAGGTATAAATACTGGTTCTACTGCCAGAGGCCCTATAGACTGTTCAGGCGTTTCAACTGACACCCACATTCAGGTGTCAGATCTACAGCGGATTCTCCAGCTGTCTGGCTGGGTAGCATGGCTTGACCCCTGTGATCATCCCTCCCCCTCTCTACAACTGGATTCTAGGAGTTCTAATTTTACTTTGCTTAGATTCTTAGTTGGGGTCATCCTTGTGGATCTCTGGACATTTCCAGAGTTTCCATCGAAATGCTTATAGGGAAAACATTTAATTAGGGTGGCTCACTTACAATTTAAGACTCATCATGATGGGGAACATGGCAGTGTTCAGGCAGACATTGTGCTAGAACCCAGAGTCCTATATCTTGTAGGTGACAGGAAGTTAACTCAAGACACTTAGGAAACCTCAAACCCCTACCTCCCCCCAAGACATACTTCCTCCAACAAAGCTATATCTCCTAATAGCACTATCCCCTATGAGATTATTGGGGGCAAGTACATTTAAACTACCACATTCTACTTCCTGGCCCCTATAAACATTTTAACAATATCACAGTGAAAAATACATTCAGTTCAACTACAGATGTACCCATAGTTTATCACTGTCTCATCAATGCTTGGAAGTTCAAAGTCTCTTTTGAGATCATGTAATCTCTTAACTCTAATGCCCTGTAAAATCAAGACCAAAAAGATTGCATACTTACAACATATAATGGCTTAGAATATCCATTAACATTCCAAAATGTAGGGAATGGAGAATAGTGAAAAAATACTGGACCAAAACAAGACCAAAAAACAGGGGGGGGGGGCATACTCCAAATTCTGCATCAAAACACCATCTCCAACTCTGTTCAGCTTTGTTGATGCAATACACTTCTTGATTCCACTCCGTTAGCAGCTGTCCTCGGCAGGTATCCCATGACTCTCGAGTCTCTAACATCTTGGGTCCTCCAAGGAAATCCAGACTTCAACTCCATTCAAGCACACTCCTGATACATGCCTGGCCTCAGTGATGTTCCTTAAGCATGGTGGCTGTTTCCATAACCCATTTCTTCTACTCTCAACTCAAAAGTTTGAACCACATGATCAAATTTGCCAAGTTCTGCTGCTTCCTTGGGCTGGAACATGCCACCTCCCCACCCCCGTGTTCAATCTGTTTTCCACATTCAGTGCCCTAAGGTTGGATGTTTTTGGACCCTGTAGAGCAGGCTGGCCTCAAACTCAGAGATCCATCAGCCTCTGACTTCTGAGTGTTGGGATCAAACCTGTTCACCAACACACCCTGCTCTAAGTTTCTCTTAAATTACTTTTCACAAATTGGAAATTTAGCTGGGTGAGATCTGCCTATCTCTGCCTCCAGAGTGCTGGGATTAAAGGCAAGCACCACCACATTAGGCCTTTTGGAAACAGCTGGGTAGGGTCTTTGCCGAAATCACCATTTCTTTATCTCTTTAAACACAGGACTTATTTCCATTTTACTTTTTGGTGTTCCGTTTCTCCTTAAATTTTACATTTTGTAATTTAGTTTACCTGTTCAGCTTGCTCCTTTTCATTATAAATCTTCATTAATAACCACACGACAGATTCTATACGGGGCTTTTTTGAGATTTCTTCTGCCAATGGAATTAATTCAAATTTATTCACTTTAGGCTCAGGGAGACTCTTGAGATAAGGGAAAAAGGCAGCATTTTCTTCAGCAAAACAGTAACAAGAATGATCTTTCTAAAGAAGATACGAAAATTCTCAGAAAACGCTTGAGTGAGCCCCTCAAAGTTCATCAAATTATATTTCGCACCACTGTCTTCCATGCACCCCCTAGTATGGCCCATTAAACAGTGCTTAAAGTATTTCCTGCTTTCCAAACCCCAAAATACCAAATTCCTCCAAAAACATGGTCAGGCCTATCACAGCAATACCCCAATTCTGGCACCATCTTCTATCTATGTTAGGATTTTTATGGCTATGAAGACACAACATGAGAATCTCTCATAAAGAAAACATTTAATTAGAGTGGTTGGCTTACAATGTCAGACTGAAGCCCATTTTCATCATGGCCCGGAGCTTGGTGGCATGCAGGCAATACGGTGATGGAGAGATAGCTAAGAGTCCTACATCTTAAAGTAATAGGAAGTTGATGAGACAGTGGTGGGTATCCTGAGCACAAGAAATGTCAAAGACTGCCCTGAAGATAACACACTTCATACAACAAGGCCATACCCACTTCAACAAATAGTTCCACCCCTATGAGATTATGGGGGCCAAAAACCTTCAAACTACTACAAGTACCAACATGGACCCAGATTACCAGGAATCCACATGACCGTTGTGGCATCTAGAGCCACAACCATCAGAATATATCCTGGCTTCAGTAAGGTCACTGACCCAGACATGGCCCCCAGCTGCAGCTCTGGCCCAGATGTCACAATAGCATCAGAGTATTACATGCCAGTTAGATCTGAAGATCCCAGATGCAGTATGGCCTTTGTGCACCAATATGGTCCCAGGTGGCATACCAGACTCCAGGCGCCCACCGCCTTAAGTTGCAAGAAGAGCAACAGGTGTCAACTCAGACCCTGGCTCTTGTAGGGCTATGGACCCACACATGGAGTTGACACTGGCTATGGACCCACACATGGCACTCAGCAGCAGCTCAGGACTGGAACACATAATAGCCCCAGCTGGCAGCAGTCTACCAAGATCAGCATGGCTCTTAAGACACCTAGATGGCCACTGGTGGCAACATGGACCATAAATGGCCACAAATTCTTGCTCTGAGAGGATCATGGACCCTGAGATAGCCCTTGGCAGGAGCCTAGGCCTGGATGTCATGAAGTCACTGAGTAGCAAGGCCTCCCACCCATGTCTACTCCTTACCACCTTAACATCTGCCCTGTCTTGTTCTACAGTACATGGACCATTCTGTTTCTTTCCCTACCACATACTTGCTTATCATATTTTGACCCACTTGCCTAGTGCCAGCTTGGGCCTTGGATGTCTTCCTGCCAGCCCAGGTCTTGAGGTGGCCTGTGTCTGCCTGAGCCACGTGGCATCAGATGAGTGCTGGATGTCTTCCTGTCAGCTGAGGTCTTGAGGATCCAGACTGGCCTATGGGTGGCTTGTGTCCACCTGAGCCATTTGGCATCGTATGGACCCACAGATACCTTCTTGCCATGGCATAATTGGAAGAACCAGGCTGGCTTGGGGGTGGCTTGTGACTGCCTGAATAAAGTAGGATCATATGAGCTATGGTTGTCTTTCTGCCAGCCCAGGACACAAGTGGTTGGCTTGTGTCTCCCTAGACTGAGTTGCTTCAGATGCGCCTTGGATGTCTTCCCTTAGTATGAGTTTTTTTTTTTTTTTATGAATCTGGAGATGACTATGTTGTGAAAAGGTTTTCCAACATTGTAGGTCGGTCTCTCTCTCTCTCTCTCTCTCTCTCTCTCTCTCTCTCTCTCTTTGGTTTTTCAAGACAGGGTTTCTCTGTATTGTTTTGGAGACTGTCCTGGAACTGGCTCTGTAGACCAGGCTGGTCTCGAACTAGCAGAGATCCACCTGTCTCTGCCTCCCGAGTGCTGGGATTAAAGGCATGCGCCACCACTGTCCGGCTTGGGTTTCTCCCTTGTAGGAGTTCTCTTAGGCGTTTGGAGAGCACTGGGTTTTGGAAAAGCTGTCTCACATTCATTACATTCATAGGGTTTCTCACCAGTATGAGTTCTTTTAAGTATCCGGAGACTAGGCTTGTGTGAAAACACTTTCCCACAGTGTTTACATTCATAGCGTTTCTCTCTAGTATGAATGCTTCCATGTATTTTAAGACCTCTGCTATTTGAAAAAGCTTTACCACATTGCTTACATTCACAGGGTGTCTCATCAGTATGAGTTCTCCTATGCGTTTGGAGAGCACTGCGTTTTCGAAAGGCTTTCCCACATTCATTACATTCAAAGGGTTTCTCACCAGTATGAGTTCTTTCATGTATCCGGAGACTAGACCCATGTGAAAACACTTTCCCACATTGATTACATTCATAGGGTTTCTCTCTTGTATGAATTCTTTCATGTATTTTAAGAGCACTGCAATTTGAAAAAGCTTTACCACACTGCTTACATTCGTAGGGTTTTTCTCCAGTATGGGTTCTTTTATGAATGTTGAGATGACTCTGTTGTGAAAAGGCCTTCCCACATTGACTGCATTTATAGGGTTTCTCTCCAGTATGGATTCTTTCATGTAATTTAAGATAACCGTAATCTGCAAAAGCTTTCTCACATTGATTACATTGATAGGGTTTCTCTCCAGCATGATTCCTTTTATGTATTCGGAGACTCTCAGGTTTTGAAAAGGTTTTACCACATTGGTTACATTCATAGGGTTTCACTCCAGTATGAGTTTTTTCATGTTTTTTAAGATAACTGTGATCTGCAAAAGCTTTCTCACATTGATTACATTGAAAGGGTTTCTCTCCACTATGAATTCTTTTATGAGTGTTGAGATGACTACATTGTGAAAAGGCTTTCCCACATTGATCGCATTCATAGGGTTTCTCTCCAGTATGGGTTCTTTTATGAGCATGGAGGTGACTCCTCTGTGAAAAGGCTTTACCACATTGACTACATTTGTAGGGTTTCTCTTCAGTATAACTTCTTTTAAGCCTGTGAAGGTAATTGGCCATGTAAATGCTTTACCATATATATTAATTTTACAGTTTGATCTAATTGTAAAGAGAAGACAGATCTTAGGATTTTACCTGGTTGTTTACATTAATAACGCTCCTTCATAATGGTTTCTGTTACGTGTTTGAGGGTACCTGTGATTGCCAGAGATTTAGTACATGGGTCACATTTATACCCTTTTTCATACAAGGTTTTTTCATGTAATTCAAGGGATGTTGAAGAACTTAGAATTACATGGTCATTATATTCATAACATTCTCTTATACTGTAAGACACACTACATTTGCAAAGTGAACAAAGACAAAAGTATTTCTGCTTTTTTGTTTAACAGGAGTTTCTGTCGTAGTATGAGTTGATATATTGCAGATGAAATTAGATAAAAATGAATTGTAAACTTAATTATTCAGAAAGTCTACTCCTATTGGGGAATACTAGATATCTTCTAATTGTTCTAGGAGAGATGTACATTGCTATTCTTTCTATATTCTTTATGCACACGTGGCTTGTTTCAAGAGTGACATAATATAGGAATAAAGAAAAAATATGAAATTAAAGGTTTCCATAATGCACCCACAGATTAATTTTTGTTCTTCATAGAGATATGAGTATTAAAGTTTTCTGTAACCACCTTCTTTACTATCATAAACAGCCACTCTCAATACACTTTGGTAATTACCAAACTTTAATATGGATTACTTGCTTATTTGAAGGCTTTAGACATGTACTTATCACCTAATCATCAGGTATGTCTTTTGCCATATCACATTGGTATGAAACTAATAGATTGACAGACCTACAGCCTATCTCTCATAGGGCTATAATTAAAACGGTGATATCTATTAATGCATTGTCTTCGGAAAGTCTTGTTAATAGAGATCAGCTATGGGACACTGAAGTACATAGTCTTGTGAGAATTTAATAATCAATACATTTAAAGCTGTACTTATGTACATTGTTACTCCTTCTTAAAACATCTAAGACACACTAAAATTCTTCTGTGGGACATCTGTATTAGTTTGCACATGAAAATTGTCAGGAGCAATAACAATTCCATTAGAGAAATTCTCGGGGTTCAGACGTCAGATTCCAGTGTCTGGAAGCCCTAGCATCTTTTGTATTGCAGATGCTAGCTGATTTGCCACTGAACAGCATAACCTCAGTGGAGAATGCCTCCTAGTTTGCATCTCTATGGGCCTAAGCATTGAGTAGGCCCACACCTGTTTACCTGACTAGGAACTGTTTAGGTGAGGCTTAATTTAAAAGAATCACTAGATATCAGCTATATACACGATAATAGATACTTTCTGGTCATGCCCCAGCCCTTGAGGAACTAATTATTTAAGTGGATTCTTCAATAAACTGTGGCTTCTCAGTATCTGCTGGGAGCCCTCCTGAGATGATATGGTGTTTCCTGACTCATCATTAGTGTCGTTGGGTAGTTAACTTTTCCCTTCCTCAAGTCAAAACACTCCCACTTAGAATTGAACCCGGGAGTGTATGGCTGGTTGTGTTCACAGTGCTGAAAACATCTTTCTAGAACAGAAAATTACCTTCTGTGTCTTCTAAATCGTTGACAATGTTCTTCAATATTATGGGCTTCCCATGTGTAGCCTAAAATATAGTACCAGAAAACGCATGATATATTACTGTAAAGTATACAAATGTAAAGTTACTATATTCAGTGACCCTAAGAATTGTGCTTGATTTTCTTCCCACCACTTTCTGCAGCATTTTCAAAATTACGGAAGAGGACCAATAACCAAGACACATTCGTCTTCTTATTTTAAAAGTTGAAGGGAAACTCAGTCTTACCTATAGCAGCAAGGTTACTGTAAGTCTCCAGCATCACATCTTTGTAGAGATTCTTCTGGGAAGGATCCAGCAAAGCCCATTCTTTGCAAGTGAAGCTGATATGCACATCATCATAGGTCACTGCATTCTGGAAGTGTGATATTGATTAGAATACGAATGTAGCCATCTTTCACAATACATTCACTTAATTCTAGTATTTTACAAGTTATTCCATTTTGGAAAAGCTTGTTTTAGAAGGAAACTGAAAAGGAGGTTTGAAGGTGGGCTTTAAGTGAGTTCACCAGACCCAAGATAAATAATACATAGGTGTTTATTAGTTAAGGACTTACACAGATAAGAGTAAATTACTGCTGCCATCTTCCTGCTCCAGAAGATGCAGTCTTGGCTCTTCCAATGCTCTCCACAACAAGGCAGTGTGAGCCAGCCCCTCTTCTACCTTATAATAGGTCACTTCTGCACCTGATACCACACCCAAAAGGTGTGGCCCACACTACGTTCACTGATCAGGCAAGATGCCATTACAGAAATGACAGTTCACACGTGTCATTTCTCTGCCTGTGAATGGGATTTACCCTTCCAAGCGAAATGACTATTAACAGACATACCTCAGAGACAAGGAAACAAATCAACAGTACTAAGTACACATTGGAGAAATTGAATGAACTATTACTAACTACAAAAAGATGAGCAAACAGGATATATTGTCTCATGCCTTTAAGCCTACCACTCAGAAGGCAGAGGCATGTGAATTTCATTGAGTTAGAGGCCCCTCTGACCCATGATATGAGATCCAAGAGATATTTGGACCCTGTCTCACCCTGCAAAAACCTAAACCAACCAACAAAGAGAGGATATCACTGAAGTTCCTACAAAGAGATAAGCATTCATGCCCATCCTGTAATCATTTCTCAGAAATCTGAAACATCAGCCGGGTATTGGTGGTGCACACCTTTAATCCCAGCAGTTGGGAGGCAGAGGCAGGTGGATCCATGTGAATTCAAGGTCAGCCTAGTCCCCAGAGTGAGGGCCAGGATAGCCTCCAAAGCTACACAGAGAAGCCCTGTCTTGAAAAACCAAAAAGAAATCCGAAACATCATAGTTTGAATGTAAAATTAATATGATCTTACTAAAAGGGAATGGATGTTTAACACCAGTAGAGATGAATAGGTGAAAATGGAAGCAATGTAGATGGAGACTATGAAAACAAGAAAAAAAATTAGGGTAGGTTAGTTGGTACAGCAGTGAACAGCACTTTCTGATCTCGTAGAGGAGATGGGTTTAACTTCCAGTACTTATATGAGGGCTTGCAATTACTCATAACTCCAAATTCAGAGTTTCTGGAACCATATTCTGACTACTGGATTCAACAGGCACACATATGGTGCCTATCCAAGCAGAGAGGCAAAATATTTTTATTTGTTCAAAAAATTCAACACACATGCACACACAAAAGACACTAAGAATGTCATACACCTGCATCCCAGTGACTAAATAACTGAAGAGGATTAATGAGTATATCCCAACCTAGGAGAAAAATAATTCAAGACACTGGTGAAGCTCAGCACAACAGCATATGTTTGACATGTACAAAAACCTTCATTCCAGGTCCACCAACCAATAATATAAAACTTGAATACTTGGTCATGTGAGCACACACCTTTAATATCAGCTCCTGTAAAGCACACTGGGACAGATCTCTGATTTTGAGGCCAGCCTGGTCTCAAGAACTGTTTTCAGGACACTCAGTGCTATACAGAGAAACCTTGTCTTTTGAAACAAAACAACAAAATAAATAAGAACAGGCAGTCAAATGGCTTATGGATGAAAAGTACTTTCTTCTACTGTATGCTTTTAGGGATAGTCTACAATAGAGATGAATACATGATGGCATGAGAAGGATCTGGCTGATTAACTTCAACCACAAAAAAGTAGACACAAAGAACAGAAATTGGGAGGAGGCTATAAGCCCTCAAGTCAATCCCCAATGAGGAGTAACTTCCTAGAAAGACTTCTCCTACTAAAGATTCCAAGAAGGACCACAAAGAAAGCTACCAATGAGAGCCAAGTGTTCATATGTATCATTCTATATGGGAAGTTTTTATTCAATACATCACATTCAGGCCCAGGTCACTATGTGCTTATGTAGTTAGTCCATGCACATGCCCACCCCCAAACCTTGTGAAATTAACATTTGTAGCTAATATTCATTTATATTGATTACATATCATGTTTGTCTTTCTGGGTCTACATTGTCTCTCTCTGGATTCTTTTCTAGAATCATCCATCACCTGCAAATTTCATGTCAGTTTTTTAAACAGCTGAGTAATATTTCATTGTGTGTGTAAATAAACCACATTTTCTTGATCTATTCTTCAGTTGAGGGACATTTAGGTTGTTTCCAGTTCCTGGCTATTATGAATAAAGCTGCTATGACCTTAGCTGAGCAAGTGTTCTTGTGGTAGGGTGAAGCATCTTTTATGTATATTCCCAAGAATGGTATAGCTGGTATTTGAGGAGCTTCAGCTCTGTGTGGAGGGAGGGTGTGGATGATGCATCCCCAATAGTCCATGTAAGGAGACAAACAAGTGAGTTTGTAGAGTTGAGTGACATAGAGTCAGGAGAGACACGCTGAGCACCAAGAAGAACCACAGGGATGAGGGAATGTATAGAAGCCCTTGAGGCCCTGAAAGAGCAGGGCAGCAATCCTCAAGCAGGCGGCACATAAGCCATGTCTCTGTCCCCAAGCACTATGAGTAGACATGTGCCTCAGCCCCTCTTGCTGTCTCTGTGGCCCTGGATTGCATAAGCCAGAAGAGCCACGCTGGTTTGTAAGACAATGTCAGTTGGTATATGTGAAATATATATATTTAGCAGGTAAGGGCTAAAGTCCCCAGTGCTAAGCACCACCAAGCCCTCATCACCTGTGCTCAGGAGCAAAGTATCTGAAGGTCTGAGTCCTTGATTCATAGCCAGGGGGTTTTTCAACCCTGTAATTGTCATCAGATTCGCATGGAACCTAAAGGAATCCACCGAGGAGGAAGTGCAGCAGTACCCTTCCCTGGCCCCTCCTTACTCATTCT